CTCGGAACAAAATATAATTTTAGCCGTCATGGTGTATTAGCGATGCTTCTCGCTTAGCTGTTAATAGGCCTTACAAGTTATGTCGCATGTGTTGTAAGAAAGTTGGTGTAATCATTGTCTAAACAAAATATTTGCTGTGTAATTATTGGTTGTAATTTGCCTGTACACTTTGCACCCTGTATCCTCATGCGCAGATTTCTCTACTCTCATTAATTTCATATAATCTTTCGATAATTCTCTTTGTGATTGTAAACTTTCCGCGTTCTTTAAAGTAATTCATAGTGACTTTTCAATTTTTTTTAATTGATTCCAATCGTTACTTTTACTTTTCGATTCCTATTGCTAGAAGAAATACTATTGAGAATACCTGATGTACTTTAGCAAGTTAATCTTTATTGTACCCTCAGATCCCCATATTTTGAATTTGAATCGAATTCTTCCCAATGCCTTTGAAATCAAAGAAATCACGAAAAGTTGTTAAGAAAAGCAAAGGCAAAAGAAAAAGTAGAAAGTCGACTAAAGCATCTGCAAAGAAGAAAAAGTCGCCAACTCTTGCTGTTGATCCCGTGGAACGGCAGGCTGCAAAATCCAGAGCTCTGGAAGCCCGTCTTTACTTTCAACTAGCCGACATATCAAACAAGAAAATGCAGCTGGAACGTGCACGTGATCTTCAAGCTCGCGCTGAGTCTGAACTGGAGACGTACAAGGAGACAATGGAAGAGGTCTCAGCTTTCACAACTTGGCAACATGAACACACTGTCGAAAGACTGACAGATCGTTTGCGAGTGCTTACAACAGCGAATGCAGATCTTACACAGGAGAAGAATGATCTTCAAGCCAAACTTGATGCAGCAATGGAGGAATCAAAATTCACAATTGCTAGCAGAGACGCGGAAATCGCACGATTAAATGATCTGATCAAAGAATCATATTATAAGTACGAAAGGGCGTTTGGAATGTTTGCTGATCGATTAGTCCAAAAGTTGACCGAAGACTGGGAGGGTGAAAAACCGTTTCTGAAAGATCTGGAGGAAAATACAAATGCCGAATTTTTGCAGTGTGGACTTATATCTACTTTTGATGAATAAATTAGCTATTTAAAGTCACTTACAATTAAACTACATTTTGCACCTTTTTTTCTGCTTGCTTAATGATGCTCATTTGGAGGGGTTTGTGTATTCAGCGTTCTTATTCTTGTAGGCATACGGATTCGGCTTTGTATTTTACCACTAAATGGAAATATATTTACTGAACTAAACTACTACTTGAATCATGCTAGTGGCAATGTTAATTCAAGTCGGCGTTTCTTTATTAATTTTGTGTGGATTTTTGTGCTCGGCCGACTTTCTAGAATCCTATTCCTCTTTAACTAATAAAATGCATGCATGTGAATGGCTAAGAAAGTTATTTTTATTCGCATAACGTTTGACAGGCAACTGACCTAATTCCAATGATTTTGGATGGGCATAATACTTTTATGGGCTCTGACGATTACAACAACAGCTATTTTACTAAAACGATGTTTTTGATCGTGCAGCCCTATGCTCCTCTCCTTCTCTAACATCATCTCTTTTTCGACTTCAATTAGACTGCATTCGAGAAGGCAGTTAAATTACAGAGCAAAATAACATAACGTGGACCAGAATTTGGCAAAGGACGTCATTTGCACTGGCGGATGAGTTGCCTTCAAGTGTAATTTGAGGATTGACTTTGGCAAAGCCTCAATCTGTGAGTGAGTATTTTGGCAGCGCATACCT